GACGAATACAGAGAAAGAGAGACAAGGTAAAGCAACGGATGACATAAGCAAGTGCTTAAGCAAGTGGATGACAGAACATGGCCTGGGGGAAGTACCAAAGGAGCAAATTTATTGAGAACTACATTGGATAGGATGAAGTGGAGAGCCATTATCGCCTACGTTCTGAAGGGACACAACACATAAATAGAAAAAAAAGTCAGTAATATAAGGCCATGTTGATTTTTCTTTTTTTTTAAGAATATCAACATGGCTGAAGTTTGATACGATGAGTACTGACATCCAAAATTAGATTAATAGCTTTTACCAATTGTTGGTCATTTAGATTTAAAAAAAATGTACAGAAATACATTATTTCTAAACGGTTTTCCTTACAAACTGACTTCAAAATACACTATTTACAGTATTAATATCTATTACAACGTTTCAGCTGTTATAATCTCTGGCCTTCTTCAGGTGGTTGAAATGTCGAATTTAATCCTTTATTTCGCTCACTGGGGTAGACTGTTCTAGTTCCATGGGCTATGTTTAATGGATTTCAGTTATCAGTTATCTTCTCAAGTACACATGACATAGTGGATAAAGGCATTGGTTAGATCCAGTGACAAGACCGAATGATTGTGAGTTCAATACCCGGTTAAGGCAGTGGAGAACTTGGAGAGGGGAATTAACTGGAGATAAGTGATAACAGACGTCCATTATACATGGCAAATGGAACTAGAAAAGTACCCCAGTGAGCGAAATAAAGGGTTCAGGTCGACATTCCAACCACCTGAAGAAGGCCGGAGCGTACAACGGTCGAAACTTTGTAATAAATATGACGACAAAGATGAAGACGATACTCTGAATAATGTAAATAGTGTACATAACACCTCATCTCAAAAATATAGACGGATACAGGCTTCAAAATATTATTACTTTAAGAATATATACAAATAAAGTGAATATCTTTTGTATTAGATACATTAAATGGAAAATATATTCAAACCAGAATTCTAATTATGAATCACCACAAGTAAAATATCCAATATTTTTTTATTATATTCAATCAGTAGAAACTGTATAAAAAATTGTAAAAGATTACAAAAAAGATTATTCAATGAATAAGATTCGTTAGATCATTTGCTGGATCATAATACTTATTATAAAACCCAGGTTGTGTTTTTTTTTTTGTGTGTGTGTGTGTGTGTGTCTGTTCGTTTATATATTGGATCGGATTTCCTACATTTTTCAACCGATTGCAACAAAACTTCACATTTTTTTTTTTTTTGCAAGTAGTGTTTCTTATTGTCTTGCACATTTTTTCTTTATTTTTACATTCAGGGTGCTTTAAAAATTCCATTTACAAAACAATTGTTTATAATAAAATTCTATTCAATTGGTAGACTCATAACGATTGAAAACAATGTTTTTGTTTGAGTTTGGGTTTGACCAATTCGTGAAAAAAAAAAAAAACAAAAAAAATAAAAAAAAAATAATTAAGACATGCGCATCCGTCAACCTTACACAATAATTGTTGAAGCTTAAATAAGCATGGAATAATACAACACAAAATGTACGTTAACAAAATGTATTGAAACAAAGAATAGGTACACAATATTTACAGTTAGTTTGGTATATTCTTGGGAAGACTGTTCCTGCATAATGGGTTGACTAAATCGCAGTCGGGCAGAGTCTCTGGATTCAATTTCTTAATCTCTACTATCTTCCCCGTCTTCCGGTACCAAACCATATTTATATGGTCGGTAGTCCGCTTATGTAAATTAGGTGTATCATACACAACAATAATCTTTGTCAATTTTATTCTTCAGACTTTATGATGGTCGATACTTGATCTATCTCTTACTGTTACATCCCCGGGCAACGCCGGGCTCTACTGCTAGTAATTAATAGAAATAGTAATAGATATAGGGGTATATAACACCATAATACTGCCGTGAACATATTATAAGATGTTTTAAACTGTATTGTATATTGAAAATCACACTAAAATTATTGCACTGTATAACATATTATACCATAATATAGCTAGATTGTTCAGTGTAATTTCTTTTTGAATAAGTTAAGATCTCATTTGATGGCACAATGTTTTATTAACAATGTGTTTGTGCCACGCATCTTGTCAATATACAATTTGTAAAGCTTCAGTAAATTATAAATTTTATATGGATGTGAATATGGCTTTCACTCATCATCGAAATCATATTGCAGCGCTATAATATAAAATCTCTTTTTCTTTAAACTCGTATCCTTCAAATGTTTTGTTTCGTTTTTTATCATATCAAACCCCAAATTCCAAATTGATTGCTATACTACACTTCCAAAATCGATCTGCCGTAATGAACATATGTAGACGAATCACTGAGTGGAAGTAGAGAATGATGATAAAACGTTAAATATGGCTTAGCATTGCAGAGTAAAAGAAGCTGTGGATAGCCATAATCACTTAGAAGAGGAAGGATTGTAGATTGAATGATTTGTTTTTTTTTTTTATACAGGTTATCAAACCTTCGTGGGTTATTTAAAGTCGAAATCTATTTTGGTTCCTAAAAATAATTCGAGTGAAGATGGCCTTAAAAATTTTTCTTTAAGAATATCAATGATTTTGCCGGATACAAGTCTTACAGTTTAACCGAGAGCAGAGATCGATTCATGCCTTTTTCAAAGATGTTTACGCGTATATGAACGTATCGAACTCAACTGGAATTCGAACTCCTTTCATCACACCATCCGCACATCCACCTGCAACACGAAAACTGACGGTTCAAAAAAAAAAATCGAACATTACATTTCAGATAAAAGAATATTGCACGCCTAAATAGCTTGGTGTTAGTCTTTTTTACACAGCTTATATAGTTAAGATCAGCTATAGCATCAAACTATTGATTATAGCTGATTTGTTGCCATGAGGAAATGATATTGCATCTTCTTCCCACCTGTTAAGTTAAACTACTTTATAAAAATGCTGTCATAGTGTTTTAGAAGGACCCCAACCTATTGAATATGTTGTTTTGTGGTGTATGAAAGATGAACGGAGATGAATGAATTCTTATAGTGACTGAGTAAATTGTAATGAATGAATGGATCAGGAATCAGATTAGCTCGGTTGAAGATAACCGGAGTCGAACAAACTCCCTTTTCGGCCATTTGACAACATTGTATTCTTATACAATAAATATACACTTTATACAATAAACATACACTTTATAGAATAAATATACACCTTCTTTATACAATAAATATACACCTTCTTTTAAAATAGATACAATAAATATACACCGTCTTTTAAAATAGATACAATAAATTTACACCTTCTTTATACAATAAATATACACATTCTTTATACAATAAATATACATCTTTTAAAATAGATACAATAAATATACACCTTCTTTATACAATAAATATACACCTTCTTTATACAATAAATATACACCTTCTTTTAAAAATATACACCTTTTTTTTAAAAATAAATACTTTCCTGGTATCAAAGCTTTCTTCGATCAAGGAAAGTTGAAAATCAAGCTCAAACACTAAGAGACCATTCATCCAGGGAGTATCCCTCTTTCGGGAGTTCGTTGGGTTTGTTGCTCGGCGCCTGAAGCGTCCCCAAAGGTGGGCAGTATCGAGAGCAATTTTACCAGGGTATTGCTTTTAAACCCCCTTTAAACTGACCTTGTATCACATTTCGTTCAGGCGATGTCACACTGGAAAGTAAATCCTTTTAAAATAAATACTTCCCTTTCGATCTGGGGAAATTGAAAATAATATTACGCTCAACAGACAGACCATCCGCTCGGGCAGTACCCATACTTCGGGAGGCGGGTGGGTTTATTCCGAGGTGCCTGAGGCGTCCTCAAAAGGGGAAGTCTCCAGGGGACTTGATGAATTTTTCAACGGTATTGCCCAATTTAAACTGACCTTGCAGCACATTCTGTAGCGACACGTAGGTAGGCTGAAAAAATATACACCCCTTCTTGTAAAATAACCTCCTTGGAGAAGTGCTGGTTGCTCTAAACTTTCTCTTCGCTGGTAGTCGTGAGCCAGACTAAACAATGTCGATTATTAATGGACGTTATTTCAGTGTATCGAGAACAACGCAACCGATACCGATGCCTTGATATCCGTGATTATAAGGAATCAACATAAGAAAGTCGTGCAGACTGGCTCGTTGCAATAACAATTTTTTTTATTTCCTTCGCCTTTGTCAGTTGGCCAGCAGCTCCCCTTTCCTGTGTTAATGAAAATGTCTTTCTCGACAATTGAAAGAGTTTATATTTGTCTCGCCAAATTTTAGTTTAATTTTTAAAGAAATTTCGCTGTGTCATCAGAATGTATTGTTCCTCCTTTGTAAATTCAGAGAATAGTTCACCTGTCGACAAAAGGAAATAACTGGATTCAAACAATGAAGCAAGTCACACCAAACGATTTCTGGAAATTATTTATTGATGTGTATCTGATTTCATAGATTTTAAATGCCGGTCTTGTCATTGGTATATACAATACAAATTTTGGAATGTCGTTAATTAAGTTATAAACGAAGTTTGTACAAAGTTCTTGTCTTTTAAATACAAATATTGAAAATCTTAATTAAGTTATAGGCAAACTATATACAAACTTCTCATTTGCATGTCTAGAGATATTTTCGACACCTCCCGCTGTCAGAAATATTTAGATAGACATTTCAACTCAAAAAGTATGACTTTCATGAGCGAGAGTGAGAGAGAGAGGGGGGAGAGAGAGGGTGAGAGAAGGGGAGAGGGGGAGAGAGAGTTAAAATAGAGGTAGAAAAAGAGAGCGGGACGGAGAGAAATATAGAGAGATAGATTGAAGGAGAGGGAATCGTATGGAGAGAGAGCGATAAATAGGAGTGAGGGAGGGCGATAAAGAGAAAAAGATTGAAAGAGAGGAAGAGCGAAAAAGGGAGGGGAAAAGAGCGATAGAGATAAGAAGGGAGGGAGAAAGATGAAGAGGCACGGCGAGATAAATGGGGAGGTAGAGATTTATATAAATAGAGAGAGTTTGAAGGAGAGAGTGGGATAAATAGGAGGAATGGAGAGAGACAAACAGAGAGGCATTAAAGGAGAGGGAAGAGAAAAGGAGAGAGAAAGAGAGTTAAAATAGAGGTAGAAAAAGTGGGCGGGATGGAGAGAAATAAAGAGAGATAGATTGAAGGAGAGGGAATGGTATGGGGAGAGAGCGATAAATAAGAGGGAGGGGGGCGATAAAGAGAAAAAGATTGAAAGAGATGAAGAGCGAAAAAGGGAGGAGAAAAGAGCGATGGAGATAGGAAGGGAGGGAGAAAGATGAGGCACGGAGAGATAAAAGGTGAGGGAGAGATTTATATAAATAGAGAGGGTTTGAAGGAGAGAGTGGGATAAATAGGAGAAATGGTGAGAGACGAACAGAGAGGCTTTAAAGGAGGGGGAGGAAGAGAAAAGGAGAGAGAAAGAGAGTTAAAATAGAGGTAGAAAAAGAGGACGGGATGGAGAGAAATAAAGAGAGATAGATTGAAGGAGAGGGAATGGTATGGGGAGAGAGCGATAAATAAGAGGGAGGGGGGCGATAAAGAGAAAAAGATTGAAAGAGATGAAGAGCGAAAAGGGAGGAGAAAAGAGCGATGGAGATAGGAAGGGAGGGAGAAAGATGAGGCACGGAGAGATAAAAGGTGAGGGAGAGATTTATATAAATAGAGAGGGTTTGAAGGAGAGAGTGGGATAAATAGGAGAAATGGTGAGAGACGAACAGAGAGGCATTAAAGGAGGGGGAGAAAGAGAAAGAGAAAGAGATAAAGAGGGCAATATAAATAAATGGGAAGTTAGTGGAGAGAGATAAATAACGAGAAAGTTAGAGAGAGAGAGAGAGAGAGAGAGAGAGAGTTTATTGAGTATAGATTCGCAGCCTCAAGACGCTAGATTTTGCTACTGTGAATTCTGTAGACAATACTATTACTATGAAGTGGAGTTGCAATCCTCTTACCGAAACCGCCTTTTTTAAAATTGAGAGTTATGCCTCTGTTAGACTGGTTTCCAATCAAGGCTAGGGATAACAATGAAACCTGCTATTTAACCCGTAGCTGTATGGAGAAGAAATAGATTCATACCTTTTGTAACGGTATTAGTGCGGAAGTTAACGCAACAACTTAGACCGGCATTTGAATTCTGAATACTGTCACCACTTTTCGTCTTAATAGATCATGTTACGTGTACTTTATCATTCATGTTAGGTTTACGACCACGTCATGTTGAAGCACCGGTTTCTATGCAATCAGTGAAGTTAAGCAACGTTGATCCTGGTCAATACCGAGATTAATAACCGCTTGGGAATATCAGGTGATGTAAGCTTAGATATGTCGGTGATGTAATGGATAAATGTTCGGAATTGTGAGTCGCAAAGCTAAGTTCCAATTCCAGTTAGGTTCGTTATAACCTTTTGGTGGCTGTAGGGTTTCAAATTAGCCCATAAATGTTTTTCTTTTGCAATGTATTTTGAAAATCCAACAAACACCAGCGACTCTAATACATATATATATATATATATATATATATATATATATATATATATATATATATATATATATATATTAGTTGTTGCAAAATAATGACGTAATAATATCGTTTTTTGACGTATTTTTCAACATCAAAAACGACATTCTTACGTCATTATTTTTGCACCAACCTAATATATATATATATATATATAGTTTTAAGGTGTGATATATTTATGGGATAAAGTGCTCAATATCACAGATAGAGCGTATGTAAATATAAAAGTAAACATTGAAGTCAACACACAGAGGTGACAGATTGTTTCATTCTAGACGCATCTAACTTGAAAGTGTGCAACCTCTGTGTTGACTTCACGTATATATATATATATATATATATATATATATATATGCACACACACACACACGCACACACACACACACACACACACACACACACACACACACACACACACACACAGACCAATATATATATAGGTGCACATATGTAGGGTGCAATGGATAAATTGTCGTCTAAATTACGCAAAAATGAAAATAACCCTGGCATCTCATTTTAACATATATATTTACTTCAAAATAACTTGAAAATACACGAGATTAAATTTATTGATTAAAATCGGCATTGGCTTGGACCTTGGCCGCCAGAAGACATCAGAATCTCCAGCATCTTTTCTGGGCGGTCTCTTTATTTAATTTGGTGAATGCTACCACAATCCTTGCCTTCGGTTCATCTCCAGTGTTACAAGGAGTTTCTGTTGGTCTCTCACTCAATACACAATAATCAAGGGAGTTACAGTCTAGGGAGTTAGGTAGCCAGGTGTAAGGGGTGATGCGGTCACAGAAATTGGCTGACTGTCATGACTAGGTTCTCCTGTTTCTGTGACATTGCGTAGTGTCCTTGTTGCTAGACAAAAGGTCTTCCAGGTGCCACACTCTTGCCCCAGACAAGTATTATCTCCTCACAACACTTGATGTAGGCCTCCGTATTTAGTCTGTATCCCTTTGGAAAAATCAATAGAGCCATGACGTCGCCATCACTCGTAATCTCTCCAAGCATCATCGTAATCACTATTAGACTCATACAACTCTTTTCGGATCATCTGCTCCATCCGTAGATTGACACCCAAACACTGAAATGTTTGTATTGGAGTTTCCGGGGAGAATGTCAAGCAAAACATTATGCCGTTTACAAATTTCTGGTGAAGGGATTTATGTGAGACGGTGCCCAACTGAACGTACTATACTGTGTAGTCGACAAAAAAAGACAAATATAAAATGGCGACGATTTACCCATCGCACTGTGTATATAGGTGCACACACACACACACACACACACACACACACACACACACATATATATATATGTGTGTGTGTGTGTCTGTGTGTCCATATATACAAGCGCGCGTACACACACACATATACACAGGCACGCACAGAAAAAATCAAACTACCAATAAAAAGAGCATAAATTGTTTTTCTAATTTAATTAAAAAAGAAAGAACACAAGAAAATCTGAAAACAATTGCAGTTATCTCCTGACGAGTGGACTTAACGATTACAAAAGAGTAGGAGGAGTTGAATGAATCAGCTAAGTGGCAAATTTTTATATTCGTATTATATATATATATATATATATATATATATATATATATATATATAACGGACAAAGTCCGACAATTATTTTAAGACATTTTTATATTTATACATTCTCTTTTATAGATACAAATATTTCAGTAAATGCTCTGTTTATAATAAACAGTATTAATAACATTTACGGGCCTGAATGGCCGAGAAATTTTCATAGAAATATTCGTCCTCCGACAGGAATCGAACCTGTATCTTATACGGGGCCGTCATATAGCCTGACGTACCTTAACCAATAGGGCCATAGAGGATCTTTTGGTTAGCAGTAAAATCGACCTTGCTAACCGAACGATCTATATTGAACGCAATTTTGTATCTAAATTGTATCTAAAAGCTACCTTAAATGCCGCCCTATCGGATGGATCATATATTATCACTCTTCAGGTTTAACTAATTTGCATATTGATTTAAAAAAAGAAGAAAAGATGTTTATTTCAGTAATTATTTGTCCATCATTAATGTTCTTTTATTCCAGGATTGTTTTGAGTTTCACATAAAAAATAGTTCTGTTTAGGAATATCGTTTTATGCCGTGGAGAAAAATGCTTGAAATTTGCATTTTACTTGGCCTTCAACAAGATGGCAACTATTTGAAAGGCTTTCCTTAATTATAACAAGCCAATTCATGAATGAAATGTTTCATTTAAAATTCTTGTTTCCAAGATTTCAAGTAGTGAATATCTTATTTTGCGAAAGGAACGGGCAAAGCCTGCTAGTAAACGGCAACTTCTGTCGGACCGTTTGTGTGTCTGAACGTTCTTTATATGAAATCTATATTTTTATATTCTTTATTCTAATATTTTGTTTAGGCGTTAACTTTTTCTCCATATCTTAGACTCTAACAGGTGCTATCAACCCGGTCATGCTTTTTCGTTTCTAAAATGTATTGCTGGTAAGTAATTTTTTTTTCCTGAAATATATTGCTGGTGATATTTTTTTCAAAAAAGTATTTCTATTGTATTTACTATAAAAATCTATTTCTATACATTCATAGATTCTGACCCCCATTATTGTGGATCACTATTTGCCTATAACTGGGACCCTAACACGTGCTAACACCCCGTGTCAGAGTGGACCAGGGAACAACAGCAATTAAAAGTTGCTTCTACTCTTTTCAAGCCTCCAATCTCCCGATCAGGGGCTTTGATGTCGGATGTTGTTATCGTTATATTCAGAACTTGTGCACGAACATATATATATATATATATATATATATATATATATATAATTATTTATTTAAAACTTATAACATAAATATGTTATAAAATCACTACAAAAATAGCCATTTTGTTTCAACACCTCCAGTGTCTTATCAAGTGATGATGCTGAATGTAAAATAAATGGTTTTAAAAGTTTCAAAATAATTAACGATCCTTCGTAAGGGGAAAATACTTTTACAAAAACTAGAATGACCAATCAAAACACAAGTATAGAGAATTCCAAAACTTGACAACGAAGTAAGGTTATAATAGCTATCAAGAGCTTTAATATATATATATATATATATATATATATATATATATATATATATATATATATATATAATATATATATAACTGTTATATACATACTACAGTTATATATATATATATATATACATATCCATAAAACTGTATATATATATATATATATATATATATATATATATATATATATATATATATATATATATATATATATATATATATATATATATATATATATATATATACTACAGTTCGAGAGTAAGCTTACTTCAATTCCAGCCCCAATTTTCTCTAATTTTCTTTGGCTAATATATAGACTCTCGAACACTTGTCGACAGAGTGTCGAAACACGCTGAACGCATTTCTTCCGTCGGATATAATTAGTTTTTAACGCCCGAATTGATCAAATCTTGGTGGAAGATCGTATTGCGAAAGATCGAAAAAAAAAAAAAAAAAAAACGTGTAGAAATGACGAAAACTTGGTTTCGTCCACTGTGAAATCATGGATTCGGTTGCACAACATTTGAATCTAATTGTACTCTTTCCGTTTTCCTCAGAAATGTGCGTGTCAATTTACTGATGTAATTAATGGAGAGAGTGATATGTTGACGCATTCGTCTCTTTTGACACATAAACACCGAGTAATAAAATACCTCTCATAAGATTAATTTGCGATAACAAAAAACATGAGCGATTATCATTATCATAGCAACTGCCAATTTGTGACGCATTCCCAAAGACGAATCACGGGGAATTGCTAATTGAGATATTCCAGGATAAAAGAAAAAAGAAAACATGGATGTCAGACACTAGGTTTCATCACACATAACCTATATTATTCTACCTTTTGTATATTTTATCAAACAGGATAAAAGTGTAGTATTTGTTCTCTTCTCTATCCAGGAGGTACGATGCATTATCCGAGGATTACGAAACATCTTTGAATTTTGATTTTTTAGTGAAGAGCACAATTTACCGAAGTGAGAATTCGATTCAAAGCATGTTTTCGGAAAAGATATCATTCATTTTTATGATTGACTCCCTCTCATCTCAGCCACGTGCAGTTAAGGCCAGCCTTGCTACATCCATAGGAAGTAATTATTTACTAAGAAGGATGTTCCTCTCAGACAGCTACTTCCTAGGAACAGCTACTTTGAGAAGTATCTTCCCGCGTGCAAGCTTTCCCGAACACTACAAATTTAAACTCTTTAATATTAAGGGTCATTCGTTTTCTAGACATCATACATTCATATACTTCACTCCTTTACGTTCATAACACACCACCCTTTTAAGTAATACTCTTCCTTGAATGTCTCTTAGACCTTGCATTGTTGCGAACATTACTAAAATAAAGGAAAAGATGGCTTGCCTCTTTTGCCGAAAGCATGCATTTTATATTCTTACAGTTTATAGTTTTTTCTTGTTTGTTTATAAGCAAGAAATAGCTATAGAGTAGTGAGAGACTTCCGTGTTTGCATCTGTGGGTTGGAGACAGTCGAGTGGAAAATAAGTCATCTCTTTGTCAATACTGAAAAAAATGAGCTTCCAAATGTTGGAACGGCTCTGTGATCTTTACCGGATTGACAAATAAATGCAAATTGCTTGTATGGAATTTTGCGTGAAATCTGATATCGAGCGACAGGCTTTTGGGAAAAAAAAATCTTCAGTTCAACTACCAGAAATCGAAGTGCAAGTGTCCATTTGAAATGTTGATCGTTTAGGGCAACCTCATACGAGAAAATGTGGGGGGAAAAAAACCCTGGATTTCTTCAAGTGAAATTAAATAATAAATGAAACGCATTATCATATGAAGTAATGGTTTACTTTAGTTTTGCTACTAGTTCTAGAAACGTTCGATACCATGGCTGGAAAATTCATAGTTACAACAAGAAAGAAAATACTAAATGACTATTGCAGCTGTTCACAGTGATGCAGGTAGATGTTTGGAATGTGGTGTGTATATTTATATGAATGGGATAATCAAGTGAAAGCCGGGGTTCTCTCAAAGAGAAATTAGTGAAAAAATTACAGACGATACTGTAAATATAGCAAAAAACAGTTCATTGCTTTCGCAAAACCAAACACGGAGGATATAAAGAGACAATCGGAAATGCATTTAGACGGAGGTGCCATTAGTACGTACGAACGGAGTGTAAAGTCCTACCGAAATGTATCAGTCTTTATTTCTGAGATGAGGTATGTTGCACATTATTTACATTATTCGGACAATTGTCTACATCTTTGTCGCCATATTTATTACAACATTTAGGCCGTTTTACGCTCCAGCCTTCTTCAGGAGGTTGGAATGTCGAATTGAACCCTTTATTTTACTCACTGGGGTAGACTTTTCTAGTTTCATGTACCATGTTTAATGGACGTCAGTTATCAGTTATCTCCTGTTAATTCCCCTCTCCAAGTTCTCCACTGCCTTAATCGGACATTGAACTCACAGTCAAGGACAAATGACACAGTGGATAAAGGCGTTGGTTAGATCCAATGACAGGACCCAAAGAGTGTGAGTTCAATACCCGGTTAAGGTAACTGCTTTTTGACAATACCAATCATAAAAAAGTATCTGTCCGGGTAAGTGGGTTAATTCTGAACTATTCAAAATGGTGATTTTTTTAAATCGAGTCCACCTCATGTAAGGTAATAAAGCCACTAAGATATAAGAGAATACTGGAAGAATTATAAACAAAAAAGTTACTAATGATCGAGAATAAAATTAGAGTACTCAGGATAGTAGATAGCGATTGAAATTGCATTTAAATTTTTGGATATTAATGTTGACTGGAAAACATGGAGCTGGTAGAGAGTTCCACAAACCAGAATTGAGAGAAAAGAAACTGTTAGCATAGAATTAACATTGAAATCTATCTAACTCAATATTAGATTTAAAATATCTCAACGCGAGTCTAGTACTGCGCTTAAATTCAAAAAAGTCTAGGTGCCATAGTAAAGATCTCACCCGAACAGTTACCATTATAGAAAAGACACAGAGGAGCACATATTACGACCTGGAAAGTGCCTGAAGCTTAGATGCCAGATCAGGACCGATAATATTGCTGATTCTTTTTTGGACTTTATGAAGGAACTCTAGATAAATAACAGGAGCACCGGGCCATATGTGGCAGCAAAATTCTAAGCATGGACGGAGAGATATGTAGGATTGATTCTCAAGAGAGAAACTGTCTCGGACGACACTGTGAACTAACTTTCTTAGTTGACCTGGCAATGGATTCAATATAGTCTTTCCACTTCATGTCAGCTGAGAATGTTAGCCAGAAAAGGCGCAATTTGTCGCTTTTCTTTAGGTTACAAAGGAACACCGGGAACTCAAGTGACGGAAAGATACACCCATCGCCATGATGAACACAAATGTACAGCCGCCCGAAAAATGTTAATTAAAATATGACTATGAGACTTGACGTTGAGGAAGCCTCAAATAACATGGAATAAGCAATTCCTTGATAAGGGAAATATGGATACAACCGCGATATATATTGTATACAGTCGATTAGGATCCAGTATTAAAACAGATATTGCAATATCATTTGAATGCCAATTTACTGTTTCTTCGTATCAAAGAATGGAATCATTATTTTTCCTGGCAACGTTTGAGGAGAAGCAACGCTAATATATATTGTATTAATGGCTTCCATGACGATATCTGTCTGCCATAAAATGCACACAAACGTGAAATAAAGTAAAAATAATTGTTCGACAAAATAATAATAATAATAAAAATATTTACTCAAGAATTTTATGCTTACAATTTATTCAAATTTGCCAAATGTCACTTAGTTTTTATTGTTTTTTTTAATCATTTCAACAACTGCAAGGAAATAAATCCACTAAAACGAAAGTGTTTACTGAGTGCGAAAGAATTTGGCGTTTTTCTAAGCGTAGTTTAAATGTGGCCACAACGCCGAATTTTATGAGGCACCCAGTGAGAATCGAATTCACTATTCAGTCGTAATTGATCGAGAGAGACAACTTTGCTAACCATGACGCCACGTCGAAGTGCTCTGAGGGCGGAAGCACATAAGAAAAAGAAAAAAAAATATTATTAAAGAGAGCGAACGTTGAAAGGACATGATTTAAGAAGAAAGAAGTTGACTGGAATGCAGGAAGCCGGAAGGAGGAAGCTGGAAGCCGGGAGGAGGAAGCTGGAAGCCGAAAGGAGGAAGCTGGAAGCCGGAAGGTGAAAGCTGGAAGCCGGAAGGTGAAAGCTGGAAGCCGGAAGGCGGAAGCCGAAAGAGAGTTCTACAAGCAGAGAAGTGCTGGAAAAGAAACGGGTAGCAAGACATCTAGGAATATTGCTAGCCATTTCAAATGCCAAATGAAGAGACCTAGCCGCCAATCTAGCAGTATATGTAAATACATAAAGTCGACGTACCAAAGAGGAACCAATTGCCATGAAAATATTTTTTTAAAAAAAAGGAAGGAAAGGAAGCAAAGTTACATAACATTGCAGATTTTTCTTTGCATTTGGTTATCACAAACATAATTTTATTTGTCATCCTCTTTTAAATCTACCCCGTGATCGAATTTGCCAAATAGGTGTTTTTTGTAATTCAGATTTTGATTGTTTATTCATTCGTTTTCTACGGCTAATCAAACATGATGCAGGTTACTTAAAGCCATAAAATATTTTGTTAGATGGTAAGAATTTTTGGAGGGAAGATAATGGTCTAGCAAAAAACTAATCTTCTCCAAATGGGTACTAGACAGACACGTCGTTGTTTAACCTTGGGAACTAGTGATTCTCAACATGAGGTGACGGTAAGCCAGATTCCAATAGTACGATTGAGGACATATTTTCATTTTAATATCATTTTACTATTTTTTCAATATCATTTGGATTTTAATATAATTTTAATATAATTTTAATATTATTTCATTATCACTTTGGTTTTAATAAAATTTTAATATTATTTCAATATCAATTCCATTTTAATATAATTTTGATATTATTACAATATCACTTTGGTTTTAATATAATTTTTAATATTATTTGAATATCAATTTGATTTTAATATAATTTTAATATAATTTAAATATTATTTAAATACCACATTTATTTTAATATCTTTTAAACTTTAATTTCATTTTAATGCGGTAACTCCTGTCAGGTATTCTTTTATTTTTTTGTATTTTTCCCAACGATGTTTATTGTATCTAAAAAACGATATTCCACCCTCAAATATCGTTCCTAAGACTGGATAGTAAATTAAAGTAATATATATATATATCCAGCAAGAACCACTTGCCAAAATAAATGCCGAAGAAACAGAAGAGTATCTAAATACATGAATTTATATGCAAATAACAAAAACAGTGTTGTGAAATTGGATTAGAAATAAGATTAGAATCGATGTGAAAAGAAAAAAGGACATTTTGTATATAAATATGGAACATCATTATCAGAGGAAAATGTGTTTGATGCTCACAGCATCCTCAGTTTATATGGTAAGTAATCAATATCTACTGGAATCCTCCTGGAAGCATAATTGCGGCACCGTAGTCGATCGTGTTCTAAATGTTAAGTGAGTTAGCTCCTCACTAGGTGTCCTGCGCTTGTTGCTTTGTACGACTTAAAATCTCCTGAAAATTATGAAAAGAAAATGGTAGATAAATACTTAGATAGCTAGATATATATAGATAGACAGATAGAGAGATAGATATGAATAGACTGGAATAGATAGATAGATAGATATATAGATAGATAGAGAGATATATATGAATAGACTGAGATAGATAGATAAATAAATAGATAGATATGAATAGGCTGGGATAGAAAGATATATATATATATATATATATATATATATATAGATAGATAGATAGATAGATAGATAGATAGATATGAATAGACTGAGATAGATAGATAGATAGATAGATAGATAGATAGATAGATAGATAGATATAAATAGCCTGGGATAGATAGATAGATAGATAGATAGATAGATATGAATAGATTGAGATAGATAGATAGATAGATAGATAGATAGATAGATAGATAGATAGATATGAATAGACTGGAACAGACAGATAGACTGGGATACTTAGCAAGCTTGATAGATACATATGAATAGACTGGGATAGATAGATAGATAGATAGATAGATAGATAGATAGATAGATCGGGCAAATGTCGAAATTATTATATTATGGCAATAAAGATGGGGGCAACAGTCCGGATTCGTGCGCGCGGATGGATAAGAAATGACTGTGAGATAGATTTAATTTCATTTTCCACGGCTTAGCAACCATTTGCAGGTTATTTAAAGCCAGGGAATATTTTTTATATTCTAAGAATATTTTTCATTGGGTAGTTACGTAGTCTAACCGGCAGTTGGCTCTCCATATGTGTTCCTGGGAGAAGCTGTTGTGGATATTGCGATTTGAGGCAGGATTTTACTGGATAGGGCGATTATGCAACGACAGGTTACCGTTGCTCTGAAAGTCGTATTTTTTATTTTCGTATGTTTGAAACGATAGAAGACATCGGAATGGGAAAGTTTTTAAGTAAAGAAGAAAAGGAGAAAAATATGTTAGCAGAAGGGGTTATTTCAAGCTGTATTGTAAAGCCGAATAAGAGGGACGCGCGGACGATCAAGAAAACCATTTCTAACATCAACTGTATCAGAAAAAAACAAGATGTGATGCTGGTAAATAGAACATAACGAAGCGAGAGAATTATCTGATAATTCGAGCTTTGAAGAAACACCCGTTAGGATCAAGCAAGAAAATAATCCAAGAAGCTGATATAGCTAGAACGAAGAGAGCTACAATGAATAATATCTTGTTAATGTCTAATCAAGCCGTTCTTTATCAAATGCTAACACCAGGAAAAGAATTTAATGGGAAAATGCCTATATGAACTGAAATTTCAGCTCCATTTTATTTACGGATGAATGTCGAAAACAGAGCACGTTCAACCCGCTTCAGACGTCAGTAAGGTGAAGGACGAGTTATGTTCTGGGCGACAATCTTCGGTGGTACTATTGTTTGACGCTTCTTCCTAGAAGATGGAAGGAAAATGAATAGCGAAAACTACGTCAGATTGCAAAAATTTCAATATGAGCACTGGTAAAAAAATTGTTGCTGAAGACATTAATTTATAAGTCTCAGAAATTCATACACCGATGCCCTTAAGGACACATCGCACAAGAATAGACTGGGATAGATAGATAGATAGAGGAGAGAGAGAGAGAGAGAGAGAGAGAGAGAGAAATGCATACGATAGTATGTCCCAATGGGTAAAGGCGTTAGTTAGATCCAACGACAGGACCCAAAGAGTTGTGAGTTCAATACCTAGGTAGGGCAGTGAAGAACTTGGATAAGTGAACTAACAGGAGATAACTGATAACTGACATCCATTAGGCATGGTACGTGAAACTAGAACAGTCTACCCCAGCGATTAGTTCGACATTCCAACCACCTGAAGAGCGTACAACGGCCGAAAAGTTGTGATAAATATGGCAACAAAGAGAAAGAAAATAGTCCGAATAAAAATCACACAGTTTCAAAGCCAAGACGATTTTCATGCGAGGCGATGCCCCATCGCATGCAGCTAAGTTGACAAATGTATTACTAGAGCGAAAAACGATTCAAAGTCATGCGATTATTGGAATGGTCGCCTTAATCTCCAGACCTCAACAGCATTGATAACCTTTGGGGAATTGTCAAGTAGAAGCTATAGGAAGAAGGAAAGCAATACAGCAACAAAGAAATGAAACAAAAAATAATGAACGTGATCTCCCACATAAGTCCATCTACAATTCAAAGTTTGACTACTTCAATAGACAAAAGAGTGGTAAAAGTTTGACTACTTCAATAGACAAAGGATTGGTAAAAGTTATTGCCTGGCAAAGTACCTCACATAAGAATGTGAACGGAAACATTATTGGGCAGATTAGATTTATGTAATATTTAAGAATCATAAACGATTCTACTTTAACTATTTATCCCTATTATTGATACGTTAAAATATATTTATAAGCTCAAAATGACTAAGATGAATAATACCTTTATCCAGCAAATTTTAGCATTTTTTTCAGTTTCAAACAATAATATAATATCTAGCTTTTCGAAACTTGGTCAAGATATCTATAAGCTCACATAGTATGTGATTCATCCCTTATAGCGGTTTATCGACATTATTTTTTTCATTTTTAGTTTTCCCAAAATAGTTGCATATTAGCGTTATCTGAGGTGTGCAGACGCACACACACACACACGCACGCATATATATATATATATATATATATATATATATATATATATATATATATATATATATAATTATTTATTTAAAATATGATTCAAAAACGAAACATAAGAAGTCTCATGTTTTAATTAAACAAGAGCCGAAAACTTCAATATAATTATTTAAATTTAAATTGAATTAAAATAATTATATTGAAGATGGAACAGAGCTTGTTTTGCAAAATTTGAGACTTTATGTAGCGTTTTGGAATCATATTTTTAAATAAATAATTATATTTATGCTCTACTTTTGTATCGAGCACTATTTTTTTAAAATAATAACTAAAATACTAAGGGACTTTTGGATTATTTACCTAACCAATTCCTTCCTATTTTCTATATATTTTCACACACACACACACATATATATATATATATATATATATATATATATATAGAGAGAGAGAGAGAGAGAGAGAAAAGAGAAAGAAAGAGTGGGTTAGATAAAGAAAACTATGAGGAAAGAAACGATACCAATCTCCTCCACATTCGTAAATGGCGGCTGCAAAGCACAGGAAGTTAACGAATCTGTTGTTCCGAATCATTTGCCATTTTCTTTGTTTTATTGCTGATGATGAATCTTTGGATTAATATAACGTCGGCATATTGATATTTAAATCGGAAACTATTGAAGTACGCAGACAACAATACTTCCAATCAAAATTGCACATAAATTCTACAAGCAAGATGATATCAGAATAATGCGCGTGAAGCGTTTCTTTGTCAACTGATAATACTTTCCAGCAAAAACGGGCAAAAGTTGCTAATATTCAATGACAGCAGGATAATGCCTGCAATATCCTTGCCAATGTAACCCGTCACATTATGTAGAATTTGCGACAATTTTTCCGTCCGACAGCCCACTAAATTTGTTTTCTCTTGTAAGCGTAAGTAGACATGATGGCCTGATAAATGACTTGTTCAGTTAGCTGAACTTCAAATCTTTCTCTGTTGTATCTAGAGATGTGTAGAATAATGCGTAAAATAATGACCTTCCGGGTGGTGTAGGTAAATTAATTATTTTTTGTGTGCCATTTCCTTTCAGGACGTAGGTGATCATGGCTCTCCCTTTATCCATTGCAGCTCTCAAGTTCCTTCCCTCTGCTTCCTCCCACAGACCACGTTCTCTGATCCATTTGCTTAAGCGCGCCAGGTATAACACGCGTTGCTTTCCCTTGTATTTCTTTCCCCTTATTCGACCTGTGAGTATCAGATTCTCCAGACCCTCCTTCCTCATTATGTGTCCGAGAAACTTTAGTTGCTACTATCTGATGTTAAGTATAAGCTCCCTCCTTGTTTGCAACCTCATTAAAACGTCAGCGTTGCTCACACGCTCGGTTCATGATATCCTTATCATCCTTCTGTAGAACCACATCTCCATCGCCTCGAGTCTCTTCTTCATTTTTGAGGAGATCATCCAACATTCGCCGCCGTAAAGAAGGACAGATGCCACGTAACAGCTCAGTATTCTTTTCCTTGTTACCAAAGAAACCCTCCCAGCTTTTCTTAATTTCATCCCAATATAGATACTGATTAACAGTATGCTTTTCTTGCTAAATTTTATTGTATTTGATGTCCAGAAAACAAGTTACTGCCTTTTCCTTAAATATCGCATAGTGGATGATAGAACATCTGAATCCTATTGATGTTGGAGATGACCATGTAAAAATATACCTACGAAAATTTCAACTTTCAGCTCTTTACTTAAGTTAAAAATAAAAAGTAAATTTTATTGTTTTTAAGTTCGAAACGACAAATTATAAAGTTAGCAATTAGGGATATTGCCTTTGAGTCGAATAATAACATCAGTGTGATGTGGCTTTGAATGGAGTAAGATCCTGATTTTCTAATTGGGAATTTCTCCAGATCTTCTTAAACCTAATCCAAAAGTTCATTGAGATTGCGTGGTTTTTTGGTGGAACATTTTTTCTTTAATTCCCATCACAATGTTTCAATTATATTGAAATCACGACTTTGTTCTTGGAAGTCTTTCAAAAGTTAAATGTATTCATAGACAAGAAACATTTCTCGCGCAACTATATGAGGTAAATATTCTCCATCTTGGAAGGAGATTAGGACGTAGAAAACTAATCTAAATTCCGCTGATCAAGTGTCCATCAACTATTCCTGATTTTTCTTCTAGTATCGCTTTTGATGCGACCCCACACAATTACGCACTCATATCAGATTTTAAAGAATTTGTGATGTGTCTTGCATTGTTTCTTCCTTCCACTGGTCTTCTTGAATTGGAATATAACTCTCTTTTGAATTAGTCACTAAACATTACTTTTAGCCATTTCTCATTATCTTCTCATGTTAGATGTTTTTTGATGACGTCATTCTTCTTTAGTTTTTCACACCACACAATTACATTCTCATCACCAGATTTTACAGAATTTCTGATGAATCATTCAATATTTCTTTCTTCCACTGGTTTTCTTGCATATTTCTCAGCATCCCATGTACATGTTCTTTTAAACAATTCAGTCTTCTCTAAGTTTTTACATCACTTGTCTTGTTGTTAGTTATTGCATGCATTGATTTTCACAATCTTTCTTTCATATCTCTTGTCTAATCTTTTGTAGTCCGACGTTTTTCAGTTTTATTTGCGCTTCAAACATCAGCAATAGTAAAAAAAAAAATGTATTTTGGGGTGTGTTCAAAACTGATTCTGGAAATTGCCAGACAAATGGCTACCTCTCGTTGGTCCATCTTACCCTATAAAAAACAAAACAAAAAAAAACCTTCAATGATTTTAGTTTCGACAAGATGGATTATGTTCAATTACAATGACTTACAAAGTTACTTTACACCCATGTTAATAAGATAGAGTATTTTCTTCTTAGGGGATACGGTGGAGGACTGAGTAATCGGAGAGCCGAGTTCGAATTCGAGTCAAATCCATTACATTCACTTAAGTGCTAATATCCTTGGGAAAGGTTTGCATCCACTTCTCCTCCATCGAGAAAGACAGACTAGGTTCTATAGCCTTGGATGGCAACTGGTCTACACCAGAAACAAATGGAAACCTACTGCCGAAAATAATCTGCCTCGTCAGTCATGTATAAAAAGATATGTGATCGCCTAGGCGTGTGTCACGTATGGAACATAACTGATTTAATTCATACTTAAAAACATGTATATTATCATGACTTTATTCTCTAAGAACTTTTATTGGGCCAATTGTGTTGCATGGCCTTTTCTCAGCTTCAAGCTGTTTAAAGTGGTTACATTTTGTTGAGTGGCTCAGTGCAACAATTTATTTGCCAATGCCAAATTCCCACAGACCCAACTTTTAAGAGGATATTTCTAAAGAATCGTAATTCCTTAATAAAATCCAGGTGAGTATTCTTTAAATATATTTGTCCTTAAGTCTTTGCACGCCAGTAAAATACTATCATATATATTTAAAATACATAAATAAATATCGAACGAGAATATCTGGCGTGATATTAGTTTATTTTGTATCTGCTTGTGCGATGTTTACGAAATATGTACTCTACCTGACCTTTAGCGATGACAGGGATTAAATGGCTTAATCTCGAAGAGATTTGATTGATGACTAGCCAAGCTTTCCTTAAAGCCCATTTTCATTTGTCAAGTATTTGAAGAAAATCTGGCTATATCATCCTATAATTTCTATATGAGAAAAATAATTGTTCCCTGCGAATAAACAATGAAAAGCCATTATCAAGCGTTAAATTATAAAATGTGGTGGTAGATATGAAAGTCTGATATATAGAGCTACTGACAGATAGATAGATAGATAGATAGATAGATAGATAGATAGATAGATAGATAGATATGAAAAGACTGCGAGAGATACAAAAAAATAGTAATAAATAGATAGAGAGATATAGAGATAGATATGGAAAGACTGGGAGAGATAGATACAAGAAGACTAGAGACAGAAAGATAGAAATGTTAGATAGATAGATAGATAGATAGATAGATAGATAGATAGATACTGC